CTGGATTGGTGCAGTCTCGCCTTCACTGTCCAGCATTGACGGAGTTCAAAAGCGATTACGCGGCCTTGAGGGTTATGAATTAATTTTTATCTTTCAAACTTTTTCCCCTAGAAAAAACGCTATTTTTATGCCAAGTGTTTAGCCGAGCTATCTTCCTTAGTTCCACTAGTTTAGACCTTTACAACGAAGACCTGACATACCACGGAGTAAACTCATCTTCATTCCCTTAGTAGTACTTTGGTAAAGAGAAAGTGCCCATTAGACAGTTTCTTTCCCAAAAATGTTACAGTGTAGACTCCCGAGAGGATGGTTTCCCCGACCCCGATAATCTTAACCTCTTGAAGTCGAGAGGCAACTGTTATCTATCCTACATACCCTTTCTCCCTCCCTCCCTCCCTCCCTTTGCGCGTTACAAAATTCCCATTCAGGCCTAAGTGCCGCTCGAAGCTCTTAGGCCTTGTATTTGATGGACAATAGTAAAATAAAGTAGCTACTTCTAACAATACATAATTATTTAAACAGTTTGTTTAGCACTTGTTTTCTTCAAGAATATTGTCACTATAATACTTAAATTGATTTTATAAGTCTTATGGTGCACATCGGTCTATATATGCTTAGGAGCCTTAAAGGTTTTATCATTTAATGCTTCACAGTTAAAAAAAAAACTGTTTCAGAACTTCTATAAATATAGAATACTTGAAAAATGAAAAAGTCAAGAAAAAAACCCCCAAAAAACAACAACAAAATTGTAACTGAACATCCAGCCGGCCAGATCCCTAAAAAAGACTACCGGGGCAAAGTGGTGTAATAATTAGCAAGCTTATCTCTCTAGATCAATTACGAATGAGTAGTGAGTTTGTTCCTAACTGGGTGTTCCATACTTTCAGTCTTGTACCACATCTAAGCTACGCTTAGAAAACCAGCATCCAAGCGGAAGTTACTACGAGCTTTTAAAGCAACCTATTTAATCAGTATTGTTAATGTAGTAGTGTGAAAACAGCATGTCATGTGACTACAAAGATGGCGGAAAGAGTTTGCCTAGTAACTTGTATTTTTCTAGATATTTATCTATAAACAAGTGTAAATGACAAATATGAATATTTCGAAGGAGACAATGGAAATTAGGTATTAGATTAAGAAATTCATTCATGGTAATTCCTCCAGATCTCTTTCTGTTTGCCATATCCCTTCAAGTGAGGAATAATCATGGCTCTTCACAACTTCCTTTTCTTTGTTGCTTTCAGCAATACTTGCACCTTTACGAATTTTCGTTATGGAACTGTCTCTGTGAAACGGAAGGTGCGGTTGGTGTAATGGACGGAATCATGTAATGGATTAGAATGAGAAATCGGAGAGCCGAGTTCGAATTCCAGTTAGGTTCGTCACATTGACATCCGCACAAATATCTATTTCCTCCTCCTAGATATGGATTAAATAGTAGAACTTGTTTTTGGAAAAAGTTACTGTTCTTTTTTAAAAAATGTTAAAGCAATATTCGCTCATCAAAAAAAAAGTATTATTTTTATAATCCAAAATATGTTTCCACTTAACTCACAAAGGGTTGATAAGCCGTAAAAATATCAGCAACTATATGAAAGGTTTGCTCATAACTGCTCATTTTTGCTTTCGATCCGCCTTGTGAGTATTAAGTTCTCCAAGTCTTTCTGTCTATCTCTTTATGATTGTGAACAACAGTTTTAATTTAATTCATATTTTAAGAAATTCCTCATTGGTCATATGTTTCGATTATGATTTTTCCAACATCTTGGGTCGATACAATTTTCTTATTCATTTGAGATTAAATTTTCTAGTATTCACTGTCATATGGTGGGTCGGGGGTTGGGGGGAACATTACTTCAAACTCTTCCCTTTTCTTTGTTCCTAATGTCTTTCAATTCATTAATATTTTACACATCTGTAGGTGGTGTCGGATGTGCAGTTGCTGTAATGAATGAGAGCCGAGTTTGAATACTAGTCGAGTTTGTTACATTCACTTATGCGCAAATAGCCATAGGAAATGTACGAATCCATCTCTTCTCCCCCAGTTATGGGTTAAATAGTAAGTCAAACTGAACACTTCAGCCTTGGTTGATAAACAATCTAAGAAAATCTGAATTCAAAGTCATATATAGCCCTGGCGAAGCACATACTAAGTGTGAATGAATAGATCATAGAGTTCCCAATGAATGACTATGATCTTGAATGTATTCAGCTTTCTTTTCAGTATCTTGCACAGATACTGAAAACATTTTTTTTGCTAATTCTACATGCCTTAGAAGATATTGCTAATAAAATTTTCTTATATTGTTTTATTCTAAGGTTCTTCTTTCCGTGATGTGAACACTGATTTTCATGAATGGAAAAATAATTGATAACTCGAGTCCGTTCAAATTACATCAAAAGAACTTTACTCTGCTCTGGCAGAGAGTTTTTAAAACCAATTCTTTTAATATGTAACAAAGAAACATCTGTGAATATATTTCTAAATCTTAAATTTCTTTCTGCTAGTTTGTTTAGATTACGTCATTTTTTTACTGGTCCATAGTGTTCGTTAAATGAAAAGTCTAACTTGAAAAGAATATAAAAAAGTAAACACTTTTCTCTTGGACTTCGTTAGATTAACAATTATCTTTAAATACATTAATTTATTTTATCAAGAATAATCATTCAATCCATTTTGAATTAATTCTTTTTTATTTCTTACGAACTATCTGTCTTGCCTCTCACATTACCGCTTTCTTACGAAAATTACCGAAGAAATTGACACCAGACATCAAAGCGCATCAACAAAGTTTTTTTTTATATCTTAAATTGTTAGCTACCATAAATTATTATACTAATGCATCTAGCTTAAATCATTAAATATACACAAGTTAAAATTCACAGAGGAAATAAAAGTGTCAGAAGACCAGGAAAGCGATCATATATAAACTGTTCGCGAAGGTCAGACAAAAAATGGCATATATTAATGAACAGGAAATAATTAAACAATTACTGTTGTAATTACTAAGCGTAACGCAATTAGGTTAAACGCATTAAAAAACTAATTTTCTAGACCTTGAGTCTCAATCTGAAACTGAGAGTGCTTTTTAAACTATTTACCTTGATCGGACTGTTGTCCTCATCTGTATTATCACATTCATAAAGTTTCGGCCGTTGTACGGTCAGGCCTTCTTCATGTGATATTTGTTGGAATTTCGAACCGAACCCAGAATAGTCAATTTGTATGTTGGCGTTTCTGAAGATTGGTTGGATGATGTCTGTGTAAAAAAATTGGATTTTTCATGCCGTCGAACCCATTTTCAAAAACGCCAAACTACAGATTGACTATTCTGGGTTCGGTTCGAAATTAAAAAAAAAATCACCTAAAGAAGGCCGGAGCGTACAACATCCGAAACGTTGTGAATGTAACAATAAAGATGAGGACACCAGTTCGAACTACGTAATCAGTGTAAATAAAATATAATCGTACTTCATTTTTGAAGAATAAAGCTAATAAACACAAACTGAATTTATTTATGGATCAATCTAATAGCTTAGAGAATTAAAGCGTTGGTTCGTAATACTTGTGGAATAGTAAGTGTGAGTTCTATCCCTGGTACAGGTAGTGTAGACTTGAACTCAGATGAAATAGTTTGCAATATATGAGCAGTAACTACAAAAAAGAAAAAAAAAAGAAAAAAAGATGAGATATCTCTAGCCATGGAGTGCACGGAATGGAAACAATCTACCCCGGTAGATCAAATAAAGGATTCAAGTAGACATTTGAAGAAGATCGGCTTAAATGCTGAGGCAATGGCAACAAAGATGAGGACGGAAGTAAATAATATTTTCTCATCCCAGAAATTCAGACAGAAGCTAACAGGCAGTTTGCATGCAATTCTGCCATTGAAACCTTCACCATACACGACGTTTATGGACTATATATCAATCTTGTATATTCAGACATTAAGTAATGAAACCCATGAAAGTTTATTTTATGAAGGACGGGTTTAATTAAGTTCAATGTCTCGGTTCAATTTCTGCATATGGGCCAAGGACAAAAATTGTCCTGTACTCACGACCACTGTCACGCTGGCTTCGATATCACTCACTAATCGCCACCGCTCCTAGTGCAATGAGGGAGGTGCTACCAGGCGCCTTCTCTCATTTCCAATAAGAAAGGACGAGATGCTATACCTTCATCACGGTCAAAAGGCAGAAAAGCATACAGAGGAGATTGCGTTAAAATAAAATATTATACTTTACACTTAATAAAACTTAGCAAATCTTTCTGACGTTGAACCGTGTCAAGTTAGCAAACTTAATTAATTAATTCTAGTGTTTCTGAACACGATAACTCTTGAGAGATGTATTCATTAAAGACACACATCAGTAAATGAACACAATATTTAGAAAAAAAAGGACAGTAACATTACAATTAAACATTTTCTAATATAGTTTAGATGTGGCACAAGGACGAATGTGTGGAGCACCTAATAAACATCGAACCCACTACTAAGTCGTAACTGATCTTTCGAGACAAGCTTACTAACCATTACACCACGTCGAAGTGCCCTTAATAATTTTCTAAGTGTAGCTTAGTCGAGGCACAAGGATAACAGTATTAAGCACCCGGTGAGGATTGAACTCACTACTCAGTCATAATTGATCTAGCAAGAGAAGCTTGTTAACCATTACACAACGTCGAATTTTCCCAAATAAACAAATAAACTGATTGATTCGTTTTTACGGCTTATCAACCATTTGCAGGTTATTTAAAGCCAGGCTATATTTTTAGATTGTAAGATTTTTATATAATAAAATAGTTTTTATATAAAGATTTTAGTGGTAAATGTTTTACTAATTAACCAATAGCTGGGGTACAAAAGGTGGATTCATACCTTCCCCAAGGATATTTGCGTGTAACTGCATATAACGAACCAAATGGGAATTAAAACTCGACTCTCCAATTAAAAATTCCGAGCCAGTATCCATTACATCATCTGCACATTCCAGATTACAGAGCCTGATATTTCCAAGCGGTCATCCATTTAAGTACTGATCAGACTCAACGTTGCTTAACTACAGTGATCGTACGGGAAACGGTATTTCAACTTAATGTTGCCTTAACAAATAGACGATGTGGTATAAGTTAGATTCATATATAAAAAGGTAAAATTAAATTATTCCGAAATGTCAACATATGATGTCAAACTGAAAAATGAAGGATTGCTTAAATGTAAGCTCTTAATTAATACTAGTTGAATTACCCGTCTACGACAGACAAGAGCTGAATACATTCCAGTTGGTTATAATAACAGGAAAAACGATTCCTTACTGCTGATGGTGATCTGTAGCGTTGTTTCAATCAGAGAAATGTTGTGCAAAACTACTGGCTACATATAGTCTTAAACTCCGATAATGTACGATTATATTTTATTTACACTATTTAAAGTGTTCGGACTGTTGTCATCTTTGTTGCCATATTCGCGACGTTTCGGTCATTGTACGGTCTGGCCTTGTTCAGGTGATTGGAATTTTGAACTGAACCCTTTATTTCGTCCACTGGGGTAGATCGAAGCGGACAACGGACGAAACCTCGTGAATATGGCAACAAATATGAGGACAACAGTTCGAACAATGTAAATAGTATAAATTACAATACCTAATCTCAGAAATATAGACAGGCGATAATATTTTATTCAAGTATATATTCGCCATCATTTGCAATGACATGTTGCCACAAATCTGGCAACTTTCTATGTTTTTCAACAAAATTTCGCAGGTTATACCGTGAAAATGATTTCCACGAAAGCTTGAATTTGGTTTTCATAAGAGAATTTTTTCCCCATCAAAGTTTCGGGCAGCGATAGAAAAAGGTAATAATCAGCAAGGTCAGGTTAATATGTGAGGTAAAACTGATCACCCAAGTTCAAAAATGTTTTCCTGCATGATGTTGTCATAGCAAGAATAATACGGGAAAACAATATTGTTTTATTCACGCGCAAGGGCGCTTTACCACGAAACTTTTATACCACTTTGCAGCTTCTGGACTTATAAACGTGTTTTTAGTATTTCATTGCTATTTGGGAACCCTACAAGCATATTACCTTTCTCTCAAGAATCTCAGCTTTTGGAGTAGATTGTAGAGATTTATCCTTGTCAATATACCGTCATTTAACCAATTTTTTTTCATCGCTTGTTATAATATATTTAAGAAACAGTTAGGATGAAACATTCGACATTAAAAATGATTTCCTAAAAAACGGAAATTATTTATGACTGAACCGATGATTTTTCATTTTTTTCAGCAATTTTCAAAATTAAGATAAAACAGTCGCGAGAGACGGCATTTTTAGAATTATAAAGGGTGCACAGGTCATAAATATTAACACGAAGAAAAAGAAAGATATTCAATACAAAAAAAAAAATCAGTATAATTTCAAATAACTATGTACGACATATTCAACTGAAAAACTTATTTACATTCATCTTCCCAAATGAGCACTGGTGAGATGAAAACATTCATTCAGCCCTTCAGTAATGGTAACAACATTCATAATCTAGTTTCCAGCTTCAAATTCAATTCAAGAACCATTAAGAGAACGGTGAATAAGTTTAAAAAAAAGACGTAACAATAGAGAGTAAAAATGGATCAGGGGTCACAACAGCAAGAGGGATCATCATTTCAATTTAGAGCTAAAGAGATCAATTAGAAAAGATTCAACTCAATCCATAAGATGTTTAGCATGGGAGAAAGGATTTTCAGCTATGACAGTCGAAAGAGCAGTGAAAAAAGACTTGAAAATGAAATCGCACGTGAAACGTGTGAGGCATACTGTTACTCCAGGACAGAAAGTTATGAGACAGAGAGCGAAGATCAATAATAATATTCAAATATTATATGAATAATTTGAAAAATGATCCTGGTATAATATATGTCCTGAATATTTGAACTTAATTTCAATCGTTCATGAGCTTCCGATCCTTAGCTATGATTAGTTCATGATGAACATGTCATTTTTGTTTATGATCGATTTCATCATAATTCTTCTCTTAAACTTGGAGATTATATATTATTATTGCTCAAAGTAGAATTATAAAAAAAAAAAAACACTCGGAGAATTCCAATGTCTTTAGTCATTTCTAAGATACAACTATTCAAAGCTTAATGTAACAAATAGACGCAAATTGGACAATTTTGCTGTTACAACCGACACACACACACACACACACATTATATATATATATATATATATATATATATATATCGTGTGTGAGTGTGTCGTGTCTAATGCAGTACAATAGATAACATGAACGTCCAGAGAATCTGCAGTTATTTTCGGTAAGGTAAAAATAATTTATCTTGTTAGGTCGTCCAGTTCAGAAGCGCAGTATTTCTTTGTCTTTTCATTTAAAAAGAAAATAATTCCTGTCATGAATTATTCGTGCAGTTTTGGATTAATAAAACGTAAGCCTCTTCTGTTGGTTGCCAGGGGCAAATAGTATTTCCAAATTTCAAAGAATCACATACAAAATACAATAACATAGTTCCAGGTAGATAGATAAGACATAGATATTTAGGTGAATCCTATATGATTAAAGAACAATTGTCAAAATACCCAAATATTATTTGTCTATCACGTGATGGAAAGTGAAGTTTTCATTCAGGTTTTCTAAAATAATAACTAAGCAGAACACATCACACGCATATATATATAAGTGAGCATTGAAGTCAACACTCGGAGGCTGTTTCATGCTAGACGCAATTGTCAGGACGCCTGACGATTGGGTCTAGCATAAAACAGCCTGTCGCCTCTGAGTGTTGGCTTCAATGTTCACTTTTATATTTATATTTACATACGCTCTATCTCTGATATTGAACACTTTACCCCGAAAATATAGCACACCTTAAAACTGTATTTTTTCTTATATATGCGTGTGTGTGGGGGTTATCAGCATATGTTATATTCTTAGAGAGACATATATATATATATATCTCCGCACGCATACGTGTGTCTATATGTATGCATGTTTATGAGATATATATGTACATACATACATGTGTGTATGTAATCAACAGTTTGAACAAGGCCAGTACGCTCAAATCCTCGACCACGAAAACTTTTGATTTCCTGCTAATATATATATATATACACATACATACACACGCAAACAAACATACATATATATATATATATATATATATATATATATATATATATATATATATATATATATACACATATATACACGTAATAGCACAGTGGTCACTACGAAATGTTTTACCATGGAGTCGACTACCATTGCTGTAGCTATGCTATTTTCTGAAAGATTTGATCAACATACTCCACGTCTAGGCTGCAATGGTGTAGCGCTTTTTAACACGGCCAACAGAATCGTCAGGCCGTATTCAAATTCCTACCGTCGTCTTTGCGTTCATTTTGCACTAACTCTCTTGGAAAAAAAAAACCCAAAAAACAGTTTTCCGATGTCCTGATATGAAGAGTAAAGTGAAAATCACCCAGGGATTTTTATTTTTCGAAAAACCAAAAAAAAAAAAACCAAATAAAAAAAAAATCACTGCTTGCTAATCATTCTATCAGAAAGAGGCAACTAACTTTGAACTTATAAAAAATTCAGTAACTAAACAAGCATAATTTAAAAAAAAAACTAAATTGAGCTTTATTCACAAGTATAAAATTGATTTTAATTTACTTATCTTACCTTAGTTCAAAGCAACAAATATGGAACTCCCAACTCGGTAGTAATGGGTAATAACACGAGAACGCTGACAATTGCTCTACTCCGAACCCCATCCCTATGATGAATGCGATTTGGAAATTAAATAAAAATAATATTGTCAGCTTTTTCAGAAAATATTATTTTCTCAAATTGTAATCAGCAATACGAATGTATTTATTAGTATTCAATTATGTTTATATTTAAAAAAATAGTTTTTTTTATAAATGTCATACTCTTGGATTAAATGTATATAGTAAATGAAAAATGCTCCAGTTAGTATTGTTTGAATTTAGAAACATTGGAAAACGCTCTTTGAAATTTGGCTTATAAAATTCTGGTAAAAATACATTTTGGTTAGTCATTTAAAATTAGTTTGAACCATTGATATATAAAAATTTTGAAAGTTAGAGTTGTGTATTATAGACAAGAAACAAATATTATTTTTAATCGCCACACAAATCAACTTATTCAACAAAAAGTATGAACAAAGGTACTTACCTTTGTTCATACTTTTTGTTGAATAAGTTGATTTGTGTGGCGATTAAAAATAATATTTGTTTCTTGTCTATAATACACAACTCTAACTTTCAAAATTTTTAAAGTTATTAATAATAGGGTCTTTTAGTTGGAAATGAAACTAAATAGTAATAAATGCAGAGATATTCAGGTCAATTATTAAAGTCTAAATTGATTTTTTGCTATGTAATTATACATAAATGTTGTGAAATTATTCTATTTTTATACGAACCCAATGTGTGCAAAGATAAGTGTTTTGATTTGGGCTATATAGAATTGATAAAAACGATATCACAAGGGTGAAATTATCGTAGTCGGTAATAAAGTCACAGGAAAAAAAAATCACAGAAAAAAAAATCACAATTTTGGCTAGGAAAAAAGCCACGATCAGTTTATGGTGGGTACTTCCCGAGTTTGTTGATTCGCTTTGTTTGCAACAGAAATTCACAGTAAAACGATTCAACTTCTAGAAAAAAAACGTTTTCTAACAATGCTACGATAACATATTTGATATATCTCATAGTTAGGGAGTCCTAGTATCCCATAAGATTCGACTTTATGTGAAGAAAGTTATCAATTTGACATTAAAATTTGAATTAAAAGTGCCTTGAATTTTCAATTTATTTATGAGACTGGGATTTTGTCCATTTTTGGATAAGAGTCTGGGTTTTTATCCGCTGTATGCTAAACTTATTTTGTTTCTTTTTTTTTACCGTGACTTTTTTCCTGGATTCTAAATTATGTCCCGTTGAGAATTAATTTTTCACTTTGGTTATTCATTTAAATTCCAATTTTTAATTTGTTTACATATTCAATATACGCATATACACCCAGACATTAATAAGTCACAATG